TATATATCAAGTGCACGGCATTCAGAAAATTGAACTGTGTTGGACAAGTGACAGTGTAGTCTCACTGTCGGTATTTATCGCTGTGATATTGCAATTCTTGCTGTTATCCCTTAGCCAGCCACAGGCATAATTTCCAGAGCCTCCATAAGTCCATAAGCTATAATACTAGGCGTTGATATGTTATACGTTAATTTCTGCATAATTATGAGATACCCATGGCGTCCAAAGGTGATGACAGTGATGCAGTGCGAGACACAGTGTTCGTGGGGCTACTGTAAATCCAGAAATGTTGGGGCGCCATTAATTTTGGCGAATATAACTTCCCTGTCTCTTTCTCTCCTTCTCCTTCTTCCCCTCTCTCTTTCTCTCGCTATCAGGTTTTATAAGTATATCACTGCATTCTGGCATTAACCAAGAGAGTCTGCTGTTTACCGTCACCTGTACTTCCACTGGTGGACCTCCTTCCATCATCATCATGGGCCAGTCATAGATCTACTTCGATCATCACTGAAGGAACTGACCCGGTTTTGGTTGACCCAGAAACTGCACAGTACAACCACAGACTTACTGTGACTTCTGCAGGAAATTATACATGCAGGTGAACAGTGTATCAAGTTCTTCAGCGACTATCACAGTTCAAGGTATAAGCCATTACCATAATAGAGCTGCGAATGTAGTTGAATTACTTATAAACACTTGGAGATAACTGTTCTTCCAGGTAGCTACTGCACCACCAACTGACGTGACGGCAGTAGTAATAGGTAGCACAAGTATTGAAGCGTCTTGTACTCCCATCTGTGAATGTTACTGGATGAGTAGCAGTAGTGGAGGTGGCAGTGGTAGTGTCAATGTTCTCACCAGTAACAGTTTGACTCTGACCGGTCTTCCAAATGGATACACCTACACCATGTCCATTATAGCTTTTCAGATAATTTCCCCAGTGAAAGAGTATATAGTGGCTTTGCCTGTATTTTTTGGTAAGTGAAATGACATAGCAAATGCTGGTATCTCCTGTACTTACAGTGGCCGAGAAGGGTCACCATGCAAAAACTGTGCTGCCGTGATACTGCAATGAAGCAATACTGTAATAAATTTCGAAATGGAATGCACAATTTGAACTGCATAAAGGTAACTGCAATAAATAGTGTGGTGGTTATAGATATTGCCAAATGCACTACACCGTAAAAAATATTAAGCGGGTATATGAATGGCCGTTGTAATTTGTTTCATAAGTAAGAGTGCAGATGATTGGAATTTACTGTGAGATAGATTCATTCTTTTGCTGCTGATCCTAGTCGCAGTCTCTCTGTTCCCCTTTAGCTGAATCACTGTGTTTGCTCTGTCAATATCAAACAAGCAACACAATCTCATGGAAACCCAACAAGTGTATCTACTACTTCCTATACACAAGCACTGATAATACTCTACTAACCAACACACACAGTTCCATCTGCTGCTCCCACTTCTGTGACAGTGTCAGTTGTAATGAACTCTTAGACTACTGCACTATCTGTTCAGTGGGGCCCAGTGGACTGCATACATCAGAACGGAGAGATAACTGGCTACTCTCAGTGAGGTATGGAGAGGGAGAGGGTGACAGGACTATCAAGATCATCTCAGGAGATTCCACTGGTGGAACGATCACAATCTCTGAGCTAACAGCAGGGACAGTGTACTTAATACAAGTGTCTGCAATGGGACAACCTGGGATTGGTGTGTACAGTGATCCTATCACTTTTGAAACTCCTCATGAATGTTAATTTAAAAAAAACATCTTACAAGTTTAATGCATAATCTATCTCAGTCTCAATGGCAGCATCATCCCAAAGTGAGTAGAATATTAATGTAATAAACCCTCAATTTACCACACTCTTTTTTGTAGGATATTGAAATTGTTGGGACAATGACAGTGACGGTGGAGTCTGACCTCAATTGGGCCAGTCCTCAGTTCACCTTGGCCTGTATCTCCACTGGTGGACCTGCTACCACTGTCATTTGGACCAGAGACTCCACCACTGTCACTGATGGAAAGACATCTGTCTTTGAGGAAGGAAGACCCCGTGACTGCACGCTATATCCATAACCTGACTGTGACTGGAAGACCAGAGGGAGACTCATGGTCAACTCAAAGCCGTCTAAAGCTTCTGCTACCTTATCCGCTGCTTATATCATCAGTTTATAAGCTCATCTGCGACTGATATCACGCCCACCACATCTGCTGCGGATATAACCTCCACTGGAAAGGGTAGCAATGTACACCACAGTGTCAGTCTGTAGTATGTAGCATATATGCTGCTACAGCAAATTTAAGTGTGGAGGGCGAAATCATTAGTGGTGTAGTGTAGTGGGAGTGGTGTTAATGATTATATGCAGTAATAACTTGCAATATATTCCTCCAGAAAGAGACATGTTTACTTATAGCATTGGGCTCTCCTGGTTTGTGAATGTGAACCACCATCAAGTCCCTTTTGTTTTGTGCAGAGATCATAATGAACAACCAAATGAGGCTTGCGCTATGGGGAGGACTGATGATGGTCATGAAACTATGTCTCTCCCACGTGACCTTTCTCCCTCCACATCTCATTGCTGGTACAGAGTCTAAACTAGAGTGACTGTAGCACATGCTGCATATCACAAACAACAGCTAACTATAATTGTGGTATACACCTCTTTTCACACCACACAACCCTTGCCATCTAATCATCATTTTGATTTAACACTGCTGGCGGATGAGTGATGTAAGAACTATGTATAATATAGCTACTATCAGAAGTCACAATTTAGCTACGGTAATTTCATCTGTACACACAGTATAATATTATATTCCCTCCCAAACATTGTATTACCTCAAAGTAATACACAAGCCAAACTGCTAAAACAAAGTATGTTTTTGCAATAAGTCCAGTATAATAGTCTCATCAGGTATATAATATTATACCTCCTCTTCCTCCCCTCCTTCCACCTCCCCCTGTTTGTCTTGATTCTCTTGAGAGTAGTCAATCTTACGACTCCCTGCCAGACAGGGATAGAGGAAGAACAATCCAATCAATAATGGTAGGAACAGTCCCACATCAGCATCCAACATTATGTCCGCTTCTTTGCACGCTCATAGTCATAACCCACATCCACTGAGTAATAGGTGGTGCCAGTGTCACGCAAAAATTATTTGTATTTTGGCCTACAGGGAAACACCTCTTGTTGCTTCCATAATAAGTCCGCGGCGAAGCGTGACGTCATGCAGGGGTGTAGGGGGGTTGCGGTCTGCTCGCGTGTAGTTCCGCCGCGCACAAGTCGCGCCAGCGCACGCCTGTAATATACCGTGGGCTAAAAACTGGGCCTACGCCCTTGTCATGCGCAGCTTCTCTTGGATGGTGCCTGATAATGCGTGGCTACTTCGGCGAAGAGGATGTAACGTCCATGTCAGTTAATGCGTAGCTGGCTCGTGCCAGTGCGCAGTACGGCAATTGGCTGCACCATGCAGTATATATTCGAGGCCATGACGCGCACACAGTACACTTCGCTATCTTACTGACAACAGTTAAAGTGAACCTGTAGCCATCGATTTATCCCGCATGTTGCAGCAACAAAACTTTACCTGTGACTTGTGGTAATGAAGAATTGGCTGGCCTTACTCCCCTGCACCTATATCCATGGTAAAGACAGACAGGAGCCGGAGTATGTAAAAGGTAGCGTGATAATAAACATGAAATGTGTTCACTAGGGGGGGGGGTCTCGGCAGTTGACCATTACCTGGACGATTATATTACCATGGGCCCCGCGGGCTCAAACGAATGTGAAGCGAACCTGACCCGAATTATTGCCGTTTGCAACGAACTGGGGGTGCCGCTGGCGGCCGACAAGCTGGAAGGGCCATCCGACTGCCTCACGTTTCTTGGGATCGAAGAGTAATTATGACTGCCCACAGCAAAGGAAGATAATCTTCGGTTGAAATTAAAACTGGCTGTTTCTAGTCTTGAACACTTCGGTGTGGGCTATCAATTACATATGTGTCATACCCACCAATCACCAGTTCATCATCAACCCCACCACCAAGACTCTCAGTATTACAAAAGAGGTAACTTACAGTCAAGTACAGAGTTAGAGCCTGGTATAGCTAAGTATAATTATGTTATACGATTGCGATGCGTGGTCTACTGGTTGTACACGAGTGGCCAGTTTTGATAGGGCACAAGGGCAAGGGCGCAGCCCAAGTATCAAAACTGAAGTCACGAGTGTGCAACCAGTAGACCACAAGCCAAAGCCATGTATAACATGGTCTTACTCTCAGCCATCATACAAGTTGAAATAATAATGAGTCTCCCCCAGCAGGGTGTAGCTATACACACAGAAATCATAACTCCTCCCCTTTCTCTTAATGTCATGGCAGTGCACGCACTTTTCCATTTGTGGCACAAATGGCTGAGTCGGGGACTGCCACTCCTGAACAGAGGCCATAGAGAGCTGTTTTTTGGACTACATTAGTCTGCTCTCCTGACCAAGATCAATTATGTTTCTAAAGTTTCAGCTACTGAACATGAAAATCTCTTCAACTACATCATACTTTGGACCGTGTCCAACCTGCTTTAATGGAGTGTCCATTTTCTTCTATATAGCCTCCAGTGATAGCTCTGCCATGAAGTTGTTTCATGTATGAGGCAATGCTGCTCTAAGTAAACTGAACACATTTCTGGGAACAAACTTGCAAGAACCTTAGGACAGTGGCTATAGTCAAGTCAAAAATGGTGTTGGTTTAAAAGTGGTGTATGTTACCATAATTATTATCCTTCTCATGGGCTCCTTATTCCCTCCAGAACATAGAGCCTGGCTTGGAACAGAGTGAAACCTTCTACTCTCACCTATGTGGTGCTGTTTTCTACTTATACAATAGCAGCAGTTGGTATTGGACTTCTCTTCAACCACGTACCAACCCGGTACCTGTTCATGTTCTCCACATTCTCTTATACTCTGGGCTACCTCCTGTATGCACTGGCCACCAATGGCTGGATGATGATAGTGGCTCGTGGACTGGCTGGTCTGCAACTGGGTGCTAGTACATCCCTAGTGTTCGCCTACTGCTCTGTGAGCTTTGAGAAGTACACTGAGAATCTGAAGATACTTGGAAAATATGAGAAGAAAAAGGCAGAGAGAGTAAAGGGATATGTTTTCAGCTTGTTCATTGTCGGAAATTAGCAAGTTACACAGATATTATCATAAGTACCTGTCACTTTCAGTCTGTTACTAGCTAACCTCGTTAAGGTAATCATGTTCACAGGAAGAATTTTCCTTAACTTGCCATGTTTGTACAAGGTACCACTCTACGTGATATTTGTTGGAGGGGTGAAAGGAGTACGTTATGTTTTGCCAGGAGTCTTGGTGAATCCAATCCTGAGTGATTCATTTGGGTTTTCTGATGAGAAAACTTCACTCTTTTTCCTTATCATTGTCTTGAGCCTCCCTATTGGAGCAACATTACTGTGGGTACAACTATACCTATGAAAGCCCATTAGAGCCATCCACTGCAATTGTAGATTACGGAAATTTCCACTCCACACTGGAAGTATTTCCATTCTAGTCCATTCTACCCCCCCTTTGGCACATGCTCCACATGTGATGCAATGTGTAAACGACGCAACCTGGCCAACCTGTACATGAGGCCACTAGAAGAGTGTTAAAGGTCTAACTATACTCACACAAATGCAACCTCATCCACGTCCAGAAACTCTGGGAGACAAATGCACTTCGCTCCCGTCACACTAGAGGGTATCGCCAAGAACACTGAGACAAGTCGCTGAGGCTACTGTAACAAAGCGTTCCACATTTCATTTGCCATGTCTGCTACTGTTACCATGACACCATCCCTATATCTCACTTCCTTTTTTTTTTTTTTTCTTTCTTAGGAGTGGGAGGGTGGGGAGAGGGAGAGGGGGGTGGGGGGGAGAAAGTGGGAAGGGGGGGGGGGGGGGTGGGGGGGTGGGGAGGGGGGGAGGGGGGGGGGCCCATAGAGGGGCACACGGGGAGGGGGGACGGGGGGGGGGAGGGGGTAGGGGGGGGGGGGGGGGGGAGAGGGGGGGGGGAGGGCGGGGGGGGGGAGGAGAGGAGGGGAGGGGGGGAGGGAGGGGGCGGGGGGGGGGGGGGGTGGGGAGAGGGCGGGAGGGGTGGGGGGAGGGAGAGGAGGGGAGAAGTGGGGGGGGGGGGGAGGTGCGGGGGGCGGGGTAAGGGGAGGGGGGGGAGGGGGGGGTGGGGGGTGAGAGGAGGGAGGGAGAGAGGGGGGAGGGGGGGGGTGGGGGTGGAGGGGAGGCGGGGGGGGGGGGCGAGGGGAGGGGGGGGGAGGAGGGGGGGACTGGGGAGGGGGGGGGGGAAAGGGGGGCGGGGGGGAGATGGGGGGAGGTAGGGGCGTTCGAGGGGGAAGAAGGACGAAGGGAGGAGTAGACAAGGTGAGAGGGAGGAGGGGGGGGGGGGGAGGAGAGGATTCAGGAGTGGGAAGAGGTCGTGGGATAGGCCCGCTTGTGGCGGATGGCGGGGGGAGGCGAGAGGGCGGGGGGGAGGGAGGGGGAGGGAAGGCGAGGGAAGAGAAGGTCGGGGGGGGGACGGGGAGGGGGGGGGAGGAAAGGCGGAAAAGGGCGGCAGGGGAGGGGGGGGGGGGAGAGGGTGGGAGGGGGGCAGGGGGGGCGGGGGGGGAGGAAGAGAGCGGGGGGGGGGGAGGGGTGGGGAGGGGGGTCGAACCAGCGGGGGAGGGGGGGGGGAGGGGGGGGAGGGAGAGGAGGGGGGGGGGGGGGGGGCGGAGGGGAGGGGGAGGGGGAGGGGGAGGGGGGGGGGAGAGGGCGGGGGAGGGCGGAGGGGGGGCGGAGGAGAGGAGATGGGGGGGGGAGGAGGGGGGTGGGGGGGGAGGGGAGGGGGGGGGAGGGGAGGGGGGGGGGGAGGGGGGGGGGGGGGGGGGAGGGGGGGGGGAGGGCGGGGGGGGGGGGCGGAGGTGAGGGGCGCGGGCAGGAGGGGGGGGGGGAGATAGGGAGGGGGGGGGAGGGGGGGCGGGGGGGGAATGAGGGGGGGGGGGCGGGGGGAGGGGGGGGGGGGGGGAGGGGGGAGGGGGGAGGGAAGAGGGTGCGAGGGCGGGAACAGGCGGAGGGAGGAGGGAGGGAGGGGGGGGGAGGGGAGGGGCGGGGGGGAGGGCAAAAGGGAGGGGGAGGGGAGGAGAGGAGGGGTGGGAAGGGGGTGGGAGGGCGGGATGGGAAGGAGGGAGGGGGTGGGTGCGCGCGATGGGGGGGGGGTCGGAGGGGAGTGGTGAAGGGGAGTAGGGGGAGGGGAGCGCGGGTAGGAGGACGGGGGAGAGGCGGGGCGGGGGGTGGGAGGGGGGGGGTATGGGTGGGAGGGTGGAGGCGAGGGGGGGGGGGGCGGGGGGGGGGGGGGTGGATGAGTGGGGGAGAAAGGGGGGGGCGGGGAAAGTGGAGGGGGGGGATCGGGAAGGGGGGGAGAGGGAAGGGAGGGGGGAGGAAGGAGTGGAGGGGTGGGGGGGGCTGGAGTGCGGAGGTATAATGTGGGGGGTGGAACGGAGCAGTCGGTGTATCGTCGGGGGGAGGGGAAGGGAGCCGTGAGGGGGAAGGAGGGGGCGGGAAGGGGGGGAAGAGGAAGGGGGAGGAAGAGGCGGGAGGGAGAGGGGTAGGAGGGCGAGGGGGGAAGGGGGGAGGGGGGGGTAGGGAAGAGGGGGGGAAGGAGGGGGGGGGGCGAGCAGGGGGGGGGGAGAGGGGGAGGGGGGGGGAGGGGAGGGAGGGGGGGGCAGGAGGGGGGGCGAAGTGGGGGACAGGTTGAGGGGTGGGGGAAGGGCGGGGGGGGGGGGGGGGGGGGAGGGGGGGGGGAGGTGGGGGGGGGGTCACACACTGGGGGGGTGCCGGGGCCGGGGTGGGCGTAAAATTGGGGGGGCGGGGGGTGGGGGGCGTGGGCGGGGGGGGGGGGGGGGTGGGGGGGGGTGGGGTGGGGGCCGGGCCGGGCGGGGCCGGGGGGGGGGGCGGGGGCACAGGGTGGGGGGGGGGTGGGGTGGGGGGCCGCCCGGGGCAGCGGGGGGGCGGGGGGGGGGCCGGGGGGGGGCGGGGGGGGGGCACACAAGGGGGGCGGGGGGGCCGACAGGGGGCCCGCGGCCGGGGGGGGGGGGGGGGGGGAGAGGGGGGGGGAGGGGGGAGGGGTGGCGGGGGGTGGGGGGAGAGGGGGAGAGGTGGGGGCAGGGGGGGTGGGGGGGGGGGGGGGGGGGGGGGGGGGGGTGGGGGGGGGGGGGGGGGGGGGGGGGGGGGTGGGGGGGGAGGGCGGGCGGGGGGCGGAGGAGGGGGAGGGGGAGGGTAGGGGGGGAGGGGGGGGGACGGGGGCGGAGAGGGGGGGGGAGAGTGGGGGAGGGGTGGGGGGGAACGGCGGGGGGGCGGAGGGGGGGGGGGGACAGGGGCGGGGGGGGGGGGAGGGGGGGGGAGGGGGGGGGAGGGGGGGGGTGGGCGAGGAAGGGGAGCGTACGGGGGGGGGGCGGGGGCAGGGGGGGGGGCAGGCGCTTGGTAGGGGTGGGGGGAGCGGAGGGTGGGGGGTGTGTCGTGTGGTGTGGGGAGTGTGTGTACGTGACGATGTTCGTGGTTCTTTCCTTTCGTTGTGCTTGTTTCTTGCTGTGATTACTGTTTGTTGGAGCGATTGCCTTTTTTTTTCTTGTTCAATAATAAAACCTGCTTATTTGACACAACGAAATGATTTTCCACCTGTTTCCACTATTTTTAACAGCTTACGACAACACTGCATTAATAATTAACCCTCGCGCGCATGCGCAGCGTAGGTGTATGTGGTAGATCTTTCTTTGTGTCTGGTCTGTCTACGACCATTCTCGCACTACAGGCTACGAGGCGGCATTTATGAGCGATTACCAACAGCTCTAGCGGGTACGGCTATAAAATAAAAATGGCGAACGACTGCGTTCGAGATGAGCGTTTACAAACTGGCACGGTCGCGGACAGCGTGCGTGTGGCCCAACCCATCAAGAAGCTGTGTCGCATGCGTGTATTTAGACGCGATCAAAACGACCTGATCCGCTTGCCTCTGTGTACCTTGCAGGCACAAGAAACCACAGCGACGGGTGTGTATCGACTCCCCGCCGATGCTATCTACTCCTGATAGCTCAGCCGCTATGTCAGAGCTCTCTGCGAGGCTACTAGCGCGGAGACGCCAATAGCCCAGCACAGCCCAGCCCATCCACTCAGTAGCGCGTACCGAGCATACGCAGTTCGCCGAGGGTTTGCACTTTAGTGCACAGTTACTCTGATGTTCATGGGTATGTTGTAGATATGACAAATTGTGAAAGTAGTAGCTAATGGGGCTGCTAGTGCCTGAAGCAGGGGCTAGATATCGCATTCGCCTCATGTTTTGTCTTCAACAAGGATGTAAACACATGGTTGTGGTTTCATGGGAAGGCTTTGGTAATCAGGCTATATACAACCTGTGGGGGACAAACTATGAAGGCCCATTTGACTGAGCGCCCCGCAAGGCTCGCGTAACACCGCGCAGACTCTGGCAAGTTGCTCTTCGTGGCTAGCCAGTTGGAAATGTGCACACTTACTTACAGAAGGTACTGGAGGCTGAGAGTTCCTCTGCAGGTCTGCCAACTCGCCTGCTAATACGCGCATTGGACAACGCCCCTGCCTGGCGCATGCGCGCGGCTCACTGGTGCTGAGTTAGCAGCAAATGGCGTTGTTCAGTGTCGACCATGGCCGTTATCTACCGTATATAGTGACTAGCGGCAAGAAAGAAACGACAGCTTGATGTCCGTGCACACCTCCGGCGAAATTGGAGACCTTCAGTGAAAAAATCAGTGAACTGGTACTGGTAAGGAGATAACGGGTAAGAAGAAGAAGAAGAAGAATAATTATGATGACACGAAAATCGCGCCGGATGAAGCTATTTTTGCTCACGAAAGCGCAAATAGGCGGGGTCGCGTAAGCCGCGTTTTACGCGAAAAGCAGTTTTCGGCTTGTTTCTTCTAACACACGCGCCGGATGAAGCTATAACATTTTCTCTTGCCTTATATTAGATGCCTGCACCACGATTTCTGTTGTTGTAAGATTTAAATTTTTTGTAATTACCAATAATTCTTTTTTGGTAATTACCCATAAAAAGTTAGATGTCACAAAAACGGAAATCGTGGTGCAGGCATCTAATATAAGGCAAGAAGAACGAGGAGAAAATTTTATAGCTTCATCCGGCGCGTGTGTTAGAAGAAACATGCCGAAAACTGCTTTTCGCGTAAAACGAGGCTTACGCGACCCCGCCTATTTGCGCTTTCGTGAGAAAAAATAGCGAAGACAAAAAAGGGCCATTTGTGGGTCGCTGCATAGCCAAAAGGTACAGCTATCAATCGAGCATACACTCGCTTGGATCATTCATACTGTTCCCGTTTTGGGAGACTGTCCTACCTTTGATGGCCTTGTCCGAACTTGGCTGGGCCCGAATCGTAACTTTACGGCAACGTCATTCCCACGGTAAAGCTCGGATAAGAGCGAATATTTTTATACAACAGTTTATGACCAAGAACTACACTTTGGTATACACAGTAGCCAATCTAGTCCTGCACAGACTTCACAAATGCGTCCGAGAATACATGCCGTCCGATTATCGGTGGCTTACTCTACCAGATGGCAGTCAACAGGTGTGAGTCTGCAGGAACACTGTCACTGGATACCCAACTCCCTCGTGACTGGCAAACACTGCAGTGACTGCCAGCCAATCTGCAGGAGTTCTAGACACACTCTCAACTTTGTCCAGTTCACTGTTGGTTTTAGTTTCTTCATCTCCACTCAATCGCTAATGCACATTGGGATATTCATGTTGGTGTCAAAATCTGTGAGCAAATAATTCCAGGTGTGCCTGGCACTAATCAACAGAAACTATGGAATACGTCACTGGTGTTTTTGTATTTGTAGGGAATAGGCGCTGGGGCGACCACCACTCTGATGGGAGCAGCGAGAGGTGTTGTTCCATTGATAAGTAAGTAAGCTGGCTATAGTCAAGTTTAATAATAGTCTTTTATTGCAGTGGATGTTGTGTACGAGCATGCACAGAAGCGGACTTACCTGGTGATGCTGATTCAAGTGGGGTTGTTCCTGCCATTACTGATTGGATTGCTCCTCCTCTATCCCTGGCTGGTAGGGAGTCGTAAGATTGACTACTCTCAAGAGAATCTGGAACAGATGGTGGAGGAAGCTGACAAGACCACTGGACTAATGGTGACAAAAAACACAGAGCAATAGATAATGTGTTTCTTTCACACTCTTTGTCTTGTAAGAATCGCAAATCCTTAATGTAATTATACAAAGTCAGTCTTATACTAAAAGAGATTGGACTTTATACGAGGTGGGGCAGCTAAAGGTGGTTATGAATCCCTTGGTACTCAACAAGAACTGACTCTGTGAAATGTGGAAATGTCATGTTACGAAACAGATGGGGGACAAGAAGACCTATACACTGAGACCAAAAGTTGAAAAGAAATATATATTTTTCTCTTGTTGTTTACAAACTTGTAGTTTCTGTTTTGATTAACTCTTAACAAACATGAGACTGTTGCTACACCGCTGACACTGTGAGTGCAGCTGGAAGTGGCATTACTGGACTGAACCTCGGAGGGGCAGGGAATGTGAGGTAGTCCTCGCAGAAGAAGGCAGTTGTATTGAGGATTAGCAGAAGCAGGAAGTTCACACCAGTTTACAAAGTTTCATTGTTGGAGGACCCACCATAAGAAAGTTACATGGACAAAAACAGAGTTTACAAGTTTTCATTGCCTGAGGCTGTTTGTTGTTGTTAACAAACTTGGTAGTTCTTTTGCATTTGATACGATGGATTTCATATGTGTACAAAGTTTTATCATTCTGGGTATATGTTAGCAGTACACAGTTAGCACTTTGTTGGTCTCTATGATAACGTATCGTACGGGGCTATTTTCTGTTGTTATTTGTTGTTTACATGTAAGCAACACTGTTTACAAACAAATTAAAATAGGTGCAGGATCCATTGAGAAAGAACACTTGAATAATAGCATCACCAGGTAAGTCCGCTTCTGTACATGCTCATAAACAACATCCGTTGGTGCTGTCACTGACACGTGATAATATTATGGCATTGTATTGTGGCTTACATTACAAGGGAAAACACCTCTTATTACTCCCGGCTATCAGACCCAATGCACTGTGCCTGGTCTCAAGAACGCATGCATCAGGTGAGGCTGATTGATGTGAGACGTTGCGTCAAAATGCATGTGCAGGTGCTCGCTCACCTTGTCCGTGAAATCATGGTGGGTTGCTAATTCCGTAAAGATGAAAAGTCCATGTGGAATTCTGCTCTGCTAGCTAAGTGCATAGCTGGCTCGAACAAAATGCAAGTGTGCATTACGATAATTGGCAGCACAATGCGGTATTTGAGGCCAGAGGAAGTGGCTACGGCCTTATGACGCACACTACCCCTTCGCCATCTTACTGACAACAGTGAAGAATCACGGTAGAGTCTAACTAACTGTGGTTTTGCAGCAATGACTGTTCATAAGTATGGAGCCTTATGCCACCGCAGTAAAGACGTACAGGAGCCAGACTATGTAAAAGGTAGTTGATAATAAGAAAGTTTTTTATGTGTTGCAATATATGATGGCCCGTAGCAAAGAAAGATATACTGCGGTTGAAGTTCAACTGGCTGTTTCTAGTCTTGGTCGCTTCAGTGAGGGCTATCAATTACACGTGTGTCATACCCACCAATCACCAGTTTATCATCAACCCCACCACCAAGACTCTCAATATTACAAATGAGGTAACGTAATTATTAATAGCTACATGCAGGACATATTATTATTATAATTATAGCCATGCAGAACTACGGATCAGTTTAATCTGTTGGTTATAAGTACTCAGTGGCTACAGGAAAGTAAAAATTGTGTTGGTTATTATAGTAGACATGTAACAAAATCTGCAGCCACCTTCTTCCCTCCAGAACATAGAGCCTGGTTTGGAACAGAGTGAAACCTTCTACTCCCTCACCTATGTTGTGCTGTTATCTACCTATACCATATCAGCAGTTTGTACTGGACTTCTCTTCAACCACGTACCAACCTGGTACCTGTTCATGTTCTCCACACTATCTGATACTCTGGGCTACCTCCTGTATGCACTGGCCACTAATGGCTGGATGATGATACTGGCTCGTGGACTGGCTGGTCTGCAACTGGGTGCTAGTACATCCCTAGTGTTCGCCTACTGCTCTGTGAGCTTTGAGAAGTACACTGAGAATCTGAAGATACTTGGAAAATATGAGAAGAAAAAGGCAGAGAGAGTAAAGGGATATGTTTTAAGCTTGTTCATTGTCGGAAATTCGCTGGGTATTGCAATTGGAATTGGTAAAGTTTAGACCATGCATTGAAGCTAGCAAAGCTCTTGTACAGTAAAACCTCCTTGTCACAGGGCACACACATTATTCTTTTATATGCATTGATGACTACTGTAGGTAACAGAGTGCAGATCAACAAGCCTATAGATAGCGTTCAAAGTACTCCTGTAAATGTACTCAGCCACAGAAATTAGACCTGGTACAGTAAAAGACTGACCAACAACATCAATTTTCTCAAGGGAAACAAGATATTCCCCCAAACTGCACCTTTTACATATTCCTTCCTTTGCCTTTTATTGCCCATAGAAACCCAATAAAGTGTAGTCTATGTATTTACAAGAAAGTTGTTTTGTTAGGGCTAAGGGGATATCTTACCAGCTTTCGTGTCTCGCAGATAAAAGTTGAAACTAATAACCTTCTGGAATGTTCACAGACGTATTCTACTTACGTCCATTCCTTGACCAATACTAATTTGTGAAGGCTTTCTACACCCATTACAGGTCTAATACGGCATTCTTACTGCCTTTGTGAGTGCATGCCACAGCATTAGGGTAAGAATGTTATTTCCAATACACTCTTTTCCTAGGTTTCCCAGTAATCCTGGCACAGTTTCCAAATACTCCTCAGTTCAGACCACCTGCGTGGTTCTGTGTAGCTGTTGGTGTAGCACTGTTACTGCTACAGTTTCTTCTCTTCCACGGAGAGAGTACCTGGCACTGCTCCAGAGGCCACTCAAAGAAAATACTGTCTTTTACAGAGCACATGTCTAAGAAACATGTTACTTTCTGTCAGGTATTTGTATCCACACAGTTGTTATGGGAAGGTGTATATATAACAAACAGCTATGCTTAGCAAAAGTGTGTTACACAGATATAAAATCCAAAATCCCTCTTTTTTGTGCTATATAACCCATATATTTTGAATGGACACACAGCATTTTCCAGCAAAAATGCTCCTACTTCAAGCAAAGCTTTATCTGCAGGTTTGTATGTGCTTAGCAAATTGTATTACACAGATATCATCATAAGTACCTGTCATTTTCTGTCAGTTACTGAACTCATTAAGTTAATCATGTTCACAGGAAGCATTTTCCTTAACTTGCCATGTTTGTACAAGGTACCACTCTATGTGATATTTGTTGGAGGGGTGAAAGGAGTACGCTATGTTTTGCCTGAAGTCTTGGTGAATCCAATCCTGAGTGATTCATTTGGGTTTTCTGATGAGAAAACTTCACTATTTCTCCTTATCATGGTCTTCAGTGCTCCTATTGGAACAACATTACTGTAGGTGCAACTATAGCTATGTAATTGGCGCGTTGATTTCTTCTTGAAGGCCTGGCGAACTGCGCTCATTAACTACGCATGATGGTCCAGCCGGGGGACCAATATCGGTGGGATACAACTCAGCACGCATGCGTAGCACGGTCTGAACCCAGGCCCTTCGCCATGTGTATGCGATACCACGGCAGCATATCGTTCGTTGCAAAATGCACTTTAGTGCTTTTCATTGTACTGCAGTTACACACTTCAGTATTTCAAGGTGAAAGACTATGGTCTGACAGTGGTGGGACTGACATGTACTATCACATCACTACTGATAATGACAGACTGGCAGGCCATTGGCAGTGATCTCTGCACAGAGCACAGTCTGTTCCACCATCCACAACTGGCCGACCAGTACAGACTAGAGCTAGCAGAGTCTAACATCTCAGAGTCTGGAATAGTGAGCGTCCAGAGTCTGCTGGTGGTGGAGGGAGAAGTGTACCAGATGGCAGTCAACAGGTGTGAGTCTGCAGGGGAACACTGTCACTGGATACCCAACTCCCTAGTGACTGGCAAACACTGCAGTGACTGCCAGCCAATCTGTAGGAGCACTAGACACACTCTCAACTTTGTCCAGTTCACTGTTGGTATTAGTTTCTCTGGCTGCACTGCACCAATAATGTACATTGGGATATTCATGTTGGTGTCAAACTCTGTGAGCAAACAATTGCAGGTGTGCCTAGCACTAATCCACAGAAACTATGGAATACATGACTGATGTGTTTTTGTATTGTAGGGAATAAGTGCTGGAGTGACTACAGCTCTGATGGGAGCAGCGAGAAGTGTTGTTCCATTGATAAGTAAGTAAGCTGGTTGTAATCAAGGTATGTATGGTAATATTAACTGTTATTTATTGCAGTGGATGTTGTGTATGAGCATGTACAGAAGCGGACCTACCTGGTGATGCTGATTCAAGTGGGACTGTTCCTGCCATTACTGATTGGATTGCTCCTCCTCTATCCCTGGCTGGCAGGCAGTCGCAGGATTGATTACTCCCAAGAGAATCAGGACAAACAGGGGAGTTGGAGAAAAGGCCAAGACCACTTGACTATAATATATGAAAGGCACTGAAGTCTAACACTTGGCGCAGTTGGCTGATTATTTTGTATACACATGCTTACATACTACATGTCATCATGGGCTGGCTACATCAGTAGTTAACACTGTAGGTCCTTGCTCGCCGGTGTGCATATTCCTGATGTCTGAAATGTGTGAGGGAGGGCAGGACATTAACCACTTGGGCAGCTGTGCTCTCAGTAGTTCACTCTACCGCTACCCAGCCTTGTCCCATGCAAGGTGGAGATGCGGGTGACCGTACGTTACAACGCTATATTAGCCGTCTATACGCATGCGCGGCATTGCTATTGGTGCAGGGGCCTGGTCCATTTTACCATTCGTTACTCAGCTCGCTGAGAGGCGTGTCACAACAGGTTTGCTACACTGCTAGATCGCGAGACTCCGTCCTGCTTTGTTTGCACTTCTGGTTGCCTGCCTCCAGGTGACGCAGAGCTAAGCCAGTGCTAATTTGGCATTGAAGTGCTAACCCTCGCGCAAAGTGGGCGTGATTATTGGCGAGCGGAAGCGAGCTAACCTTGTACCGAACGTCGTCACCGTACGTTGTCGCGCGTCGCCGAACTGCCGTACGTCGTCGGTACGCGTTTCTCGCCATCAGGTAGGCTCCTCCACCCCTGATAATATTGTGAGCGTGATGAGGAAGGGACAGGTTATGAATCGGTGTAGTGAAGATGCTCTTCGTCGTCGACGGGAGAGGGAAAGAGAACGTCGTGTGCCAGTGAGACTCCTGAGCAGAGAGAAGCTGCGGCTTTCTCAACGCGATTGCGGATCGGGAACGGCAAGGCCACGCCTGGCCACAGAAACAAGCGGAGGAAGCGCGACTAGCGAGAGGTCGTGTACGATCAGAGATAGACGCGGTGCAAAATCCGCCAAATTGCTGCCGAGTCCAGCGAGGAGAGAGAGGCCCGCCTACAGCTGCTACGCAGACAGACATTGCTGCGAGTCCCGCGAGGAGAGAGAGGCCGCTACAGCTGCTACGCACAAATCAGGAGCAGAGAATTGCTGCGAGTCCAGCGGGAGAGAGAGGCTCGGCCTGATTCGCGCTGTCGTCCTGACTGTTTTGGACTCGACTCGAATTGTCTACTGCGCTCGGGTCTAAAAGGTGTTTCTGCCTACTTGGTACTTGTGCAATGTATCTCCCTGTTTTGTGCACACACAAGAGTGACTATACGATTAGACCCCATTTGTAAGCTCGCTTCGCTCGCCCAAAATGCCATGCATTCGCCTACTAGTATGAGACAAGATAAGGGATGGGTGTCATGTGGCTTTGTGCATCTTTGCTGTGTAATGACCCTTGTTCTTCCTTTTTGGTGCTTCAAGCCATCCCTATATCCCCCTTCATTTTAAGAAACGATTTTCACGTCCGTCCGTCCGTCGCGTGTAGTGCGCTTGCGCGACTTTGTACGACGCGCTTCTTCTCAATTTTTGCACATTTCACACACACGGTCGGTGCCTCGCCAGCGAGAGAACTCTCTCCTTCGACGGCATGCGCTGAAACCTTCGGTGACTGACCTGGTGGGGTGGACCAGCTAACACAGGCTGCGTTGTCTGGGCACCGATCGATCGCTGCCTATCCTACTGCCATGCCAGCTGCCTGGTGGACCACGACAGACGAGCGTTGAAAGCGTAAGGTATAAAGGACCGTTCTGCTCACCTGCTCGCCGTTCTGGCAATATACAGTCAAATCTGTGACCGACTCTCAGCGAGCTGGTAAGCGACCACACGAGTCAGTAAAACGGTAATATTGGACCAGCCCACCAATTAACAGTGCCGCGCATGGGTACGGTGTAGCGTGTACGTCATCCGCAATCTACACCACCTTGCATGGGACAGGCTGCGTAGAAAATCATTGCAGGTGAGCTGCTGAGGCACAGCCTGCCTAGTAGAAAATGTTATTATCCTGCTCCTCCCCTACACCATTCAGACATCATTCCTAACGTACTGATGTAGCCAGCCCATGATGCAGCATACACGTAATTAACCCTCGGCGCGCATGCGCAGCGAGGGTTACGGTAGTTAACCCTCGGCGCGCATGCGCAGCGAGGGTTACAGTACTTGGGTCTGTCTGTCTGTCTGTGTGTCTGTCTGTTTGTCTGTTACTCTCTATCTCACTCCTCGAACGTCTGTTCGTCCCAGAAACGATACCATCTACCCCAACGGGCGACGAAGGTCAGAAAATAAAGGCGGTTTTCTCTGAAAATGCTCCGTTGCAAAGCTAGAGCACGAAAAAGCCAATATGCAAATACGCAACGGACGGGATGGCTTACCGCGGTCTGATCGATCCGCGTGCTCTGCGACCTCGGAGGCACCAGAAGATGCAACGCAGGGCGTGTATCGCCTCTCGCATGCTGTCTAGTAGTGTATAGTTAGCCCGCGTCAGACTCTGCGCGAGATGGGCAGAACTAAACCCAGCCCATCAATTAGTGATACAGCGCATGCGTTTACTCACGCGTGCGCGTCACAATGCGCCGAGGGTTTGCACTTCAGTGCTTTTCATTGTCCCGTAAGTGTGTCTGTCTGTCTGTTTACCACGTTTTCTGCCACCGCGCGCACGAAATCAGGTAAATAGCGATATGATCGCGGTTCAGTGCTACACTGGGTTGATTTTAAAAAAGGCGATTTTCGTAAAACTACTGTTTTAAAGTTATGGCGTGAAAACCAAGTGAAACAAGCCAATATGTAAATTAGCACAGGCTTACCTCGACCGCGTCCGTTCGCTCTGGTGTGTCTTGAAGGCACAACAAGTCACAACGAAGGGCATGTTATCGACTCACGCATGCTGTAGACTAGCCGTTGCCAGACTCTCCGCGAGCTACTAGCGGGATACCGCAGGCATAAAAAGCCCATCCATTAATTAGTGGTACGCACATGCGCAGTCGCCGAGGGTTTGACACTTTAGTGCTTTTCATTTAGCATGTGTATACAAATTTGTGAACTATATATAACACAAAGATATGGGGATGGTGTCATGTAGCTTTGTGCATCTTTGCTGTGTAATGACCCCTTGTTTCTTCCTTTTTGGTGCTTCAAACCATCCCTATATCCCCCTTCATTTTGAAGAAATGATTTTTCCACTTGTTTCCACTATTTTTTCATGCCTTATGACAACACTGCATTTTCAGTCACTCTGATGTTCATGGGTGTTGTAGAGATAACTGTTGAAAGCAGAAGCTAATGGCTGCTCCTACCTGAAGCAGGGTGTATGCGTAGTGTCTCCAACAACGATGCAATTAGGTTGTGGCACATATGGTGGGGTGGTTTCATAGGCAGGCTTCAGTAATCAGACTACAATGATAGCTATAACCTGGGGGACAAACAATGAAGGCGCTGGGCAAGGCCCGCGTAACACGGCGCACACTGCCAAGTTGCTCCTCGTACAAATCAAAACGCAAGCTAGCCAGTTAAAAATGTGTACTGACTTACAGAAGGCACTGGAGGATAAGAGTTCCTCTGCAGGCATCCTGGCTTAGTCTCGTAGACCTGGTTCACGCACGAGACTAAGTAATGCGCGCGCACCGCATTGGGGGAAACGCCCTCCTCGGCGCATGCGGCTCACTGATGCTGAGTTAGCAGCAAATGGCGTTGTCCAGTGACTACCGTGGAAGAGCTCAACGATCTACCGTAGTGACTTGCGGCAAGAAACAAGCGATCGCTTGATATGCGTGCACACCTCCGGCAAATTTGGAGACGTTCTGTGAAAAAATCAACGCTTCAACTGCTTCCGGTAAGGAGCTAGCGGGTCTGAAGAAGAAGAAGAAGAAGATGAAGAATATGATGATATGATGACACGAAAATCGCGAAATCGCGTAAGAGCGAATTCTCTGGTGGGGAACTGAGGGCACGTAGGAAGTCTTGGGGCATATGTATAGCTAGGTATTGGCCTCTAGACTATTGCTAGTGATTTTGAAGCCATGGTGAGTCATTCTCGCTGAGTTTTGAGGCGTTTTGTACGCGGATCACGTGAGATTTCACTCGTGTCATCCCTATATAGAGCGTCGGTAGACGCTCTGATTATAGAAAAATTCCGCTGGAACGAACGACTATCTTGCTGCGCATGCGGGCCGCAGTCCTTCTGGAAATTCTGCTCTGCTACATAACTAAGTGCATGGCTGGCTCACTGTGCATGTTACGATAATTA